GCATAGACAGTGCCTCATCAATGTTTGTCTGTTTACTCCTTACATTACTACTGCCACTGTCTCATTTTCTATCTTCATTAAAAGATCTTTATTACAGGAATTTTCTCCATCTCGTCCCTGTTACAGGCACTTATAATTTTTGATACGGTCAGGGGTCATGGGCTCCACTGAAAGCCATGTGAAATCTACATACCATCCCTCAGAAAACTGAACAAACTTCTGCCAATTTGTTCAGGAGGGTTAGGAATTCCCTGAGGTCTACACCTACGTAACAGCGCCTGGTCTAGTGGTCTCCCTCCAACCTCTGTCCCTCAAATCTCTATCAGAATAATGTTCCTAACACACAGTTTGGATCATGTCACTCTCTGCTCAGAACCATCTTATTTCCTGCTGCCTTGAGAACAGAAGTCCCATCTGCTGGATTGGAATCCAGGCTCTTTCAGTCTCTCAAATTTGTAGTCCCATCACCCCCTCCCTATCCCTGCCCCTTCCTCCCAAATACACAACCTTCTAAGCCAAACCAGAATGCCTGCTATTTCCCCCAATACTTCTTGCACTTCGCTTCCACAGCTGCTCCTACCTTAACATCCTCTCCCTCACTTTTACCTGTTTAGGCCATTTCTAACTTTCAAGTCCAGTCTTTTGGATTCTCCGTATTTTTGTGGATTGCCTTCAGCCCTGAGTAACACCTTGTGTAGTGTCTTGCACATAATGGAGATGTATTTACCCCTTTGCTCCCAAATCCCTCCCTTGTATTACTGACGGGCTGCCCCCTGGTTGTGCTGCCCAGGTCCCTGAGTCAGTTGGCCTCCATTTGGATTCAACCCTGGAAAGCCCTGGAGGGAGAATGGAAGACTGAAGGAAGAGAGAAGCCAGGGTATTTCTTCCCCACACACTCTGCCTCAGACAGTCTCTTAGACAAAGGCTGTGTTCCTCCTCTAGGGCTTCAGTTCCATCTAGAGAGGCCCTTTGAACTTTTGCTGAGTGACCTTCATCTCTGTGTTCCAGTATTAACACTCCATTTAACTCCTGGATTTCCTGCAATCCTTCAGCCCCTGGATGCCTCATTCTCCCATTTCTCTTTACGTCTTTTCCTTCACCTGCATAATGAATTTCTTACACTGTAGTCCTTCTGTTTAAATACCTAGACCAACTTATACTTTCCAGGTTGAACCTTGACTGATACAGCTGGCATTTGGTGGATATTTGCTGAATTTTATTACTTAACTTTAAACCATGTTCTGTGTGGGCATCTTGGGCTTTTTTGATTGAAGCAGGCAAATGACCTACATCAGTTACCTAGTACACACTAGGGTTGAATGGGGTTACTTCAAAATTCAATGGTTAGAAACTGTTGGCATTTACAAGTTTGTGAGTCTGCGTTGGCTGGGTGGTTCTTCAGCTTCCAGCTGGGTCCGCCCCTGCATGTGTGGCAGCTCTGGGTCAGCTGCATGGTTCCGCTCATCTTGCCTGGGCGCTCGTACTTCCGCAGCTTGACTCATCTAGGCTGATCTAGCAGAGCCTTGGCAGGGACTGACGTGAATCAAGTTCATTCCATGTTCTCAACCATGACAGGCTAGCTGGGGCATCTGCTCATTGCAATCGCCGAGGAGCAAGAGAAAACACAGAAACATGAGAATGTTTTCAAACTTCCATGGGAAGCTTGCCTGCTAACATTCCACTGGCCAGAGCAAGTCACATGACCAAAGGCAGACTCAAAGGGGACAGGAAGGTAGATAACAGCTTCCTTAGGGCAAAGTTACACGACAGAAGGGCAGGAATATGGCGGGGTGAAGCATCTGGCCCATAATGCAATATAGTTTATTTCAGACTTCATAAGATTTGATGAGAGTTCCGAGACTAAAGAGATAGATTGACAGACAGATGGAGAGACATTAATTTTTTTGCCATATTAACCCTTTTAAAATAAAAACTTTGCAATAAAATACGCATTGTGTATTTGCTTATTTGTTCTGTACAGTTCATTTCTACATAGCTACTGAAAAAAAAGAACCATTTATAAATAACATATTAATAAACCAAGTTAAAGAACATTATTTATCTTTAACCTTCAATTTGCATTAATTGGGGCAGTCACGGGAAATCGTGCCAACCTCACTTCAGGTCAGATGGCTCAACAAAATGAACTGTTTCATGCCTAGAAATAAATACATTCCAAATATAAATATGAATCTGTTATAAAACAGATTCTTTTGAAAATACAAAATAACCACAGTGTTAATCTATCTGTGCCCTAATTAAAAATGTATAAAGAACACACTTTCTAGGCTAAAGTTGTCCCAGAGAGCAAGTCTCATTTTTGCTTTGAATCTTATGTAAACAAACCAGGCAGGCTTCTTTGAGCCATGAGCAAAGTCATGGCCCCCAGTTTTCTAAAGAGAAGAAGAATTAAAAGTGGTTGTGTTTAAGTTGGAAAGGTCTAGGGCTTGACCTTGCTACTTTAAATTTCCTTCATCACTAAGAAATCACTTTGAATTTGTCTCCTTGGGGTACTCTAATTTGGTTTGTTCTTGGTTTGAGGCATACCATTAAAGAGATACTGTCTGTTTGTATTATAGCAAAATTTGGAAGCCACCACAAGCACACTGTTTTCAATGTTCTTTTCTGCAATTTCATCTTAAAACCTGGGCCTGTTCTTGGTAATTCGGACTGAGGTCCATGACATCTTACTACGAGATTCCTGGCTAACTACTTCTTCACTGCTTGACTTTGGGCAAAAATTGTAAACCTTTCTGTGTCTCCCCTTTCCTCATCAGAAAAATGAGGTTATTAAGAATCCTATGATCATTGGGAGGATTAAACTAAGTGAAATTATGTAAAAGATTAGCCCAACCCAGCCCACCAAATGTGCTTAATAAAGATTATGTATAAAATGCTTACTATGATGAATCATTATGTGGGAAATTTTGGGTTGTTTTCACTGAATCAGGTTCACATATATTCTTTAAAATCTAAATCAGAATTATACCCTCAAAAAACAAATGAAGTCCAATATTTTATTTTCATAGAGAGGCACTGTTTGTTTTTAAATATCAGTGTCAAGGGTAGTGGTGTCTATTTGCTCAGATTCCCCATAAAGCCACAACAGTTACAAACACTGGCTTCTTCCTGGCCTTGTCAGTTTATTCTTTGAGAATTCTTTTAGAATACGCTTCTTAAAGATATTCCTGGTCTTCAGCCTCATACTATCAGATTTTCTGATTTTCTAGCAAACAATGAGGTGATAGTGATGGCTTGGGATTTAAAGTCTATGGCGAGAACAGTGGACAGAGACTGATGAAAATAGATAAATACAACCCCAGAGTCTTCCAAAATATAACCCATTGTCTTCCGTTGTTGTTTTAAAAGGGAGAGAAATTAACCATAAGCAAATAAATTTTTAACATGTATGTTTTGCCTTTGATCACATTGAGTGTCCCTTCTGCATGGAGCCATGGTGTAGAGGAGCTCCTTCCTGCTAAAACAAGACACACTAGCATCTTGAAGAGCTCTGAATCCATCACAGAAAATGCATGTATACACGCAGGCATATGCACACCCACACACACCCAACAATCATTTTAATGATATAATGAGTGCTTTTATGGTGCCATAAATGTTGGATGTCGGGTGAAAAGACAATGAGTGAGCATATACACATCCAATGTGGCAGCTACAGGGAATGTTACAGATCAAAATGGTTAAGTTCACACATATACAATGTTGAGTCAAAAATGTGGAATGATAGATACACATGCAGAGATTCATATCATCTATGATGCACAAACACTGCTCATTGTCCTGAATACACATATTGTATGTAAATATAAAAAAAAAAGGTGGACTAGGAAAATACAAATTCATGTGGCCTTAGAGTGGGGTTGGCAAGATTACATCTATGCTCTGTATTTTTTTTTAATGTTTATTTAGTTTTGAGAGAGAGAAAGAGACAGAGTGCAAACAGGGGAGGGCCAGAGAGAGAGGAAGACACAGTATCCGAAACAGGCTCTAGGCTCTTAGATGTCATCACAGAGCCCGATATAGGGCTCAGACCCACAAACCATGAGATCATGACCTGAGCCAAAGTCAGACACTTAACCAACTGAGCCCAGGTGCCCCTCTATTTTTTAATTTTCTAAAAAAGCAGATATGACAAAATTTATCCATTTGTCCATCTAGGCAGTGGGAATGTATCCATTTGTCCAAAAATTATCCTTTTGTCCATTGTAGGCAGTGGGAACCCTGACATTTGTTCTACTATTCTCTGTTTTCCTGAGTTCTAAGCTCCCCAAAACAACAAAAATTGTGGGGCCACAGTGACCTGAAAAGCAACTTCTCTCTTGCGGTGCAGACAAACACTGGAAGCCGTCATCTGCTGCACAAGTAGATGCCACAGTCTGTTTGGCCATCTCTTTCATCTGTTTATACCTGTGGGAAGTGTCCCCGGAATAATCACACCTAACACAATCTAGACAGCGCCATAGTTCCCAGTTCAAGTACTGATCCCTGATGAATAACCTGTCCTTTCGCCACAGGGCATGGCTGGAGCTTCTGTTTGTTCCAATCTGTCCTGGGAACTATCCTCTGAGACCAACCATACCTCCCTTAGCACAGAATTTCTGAACTGCTTGAGATTCACGTTTGCCCCTCAGCCATCTTCCCAGGCTGGCAGTCGCAAACTCCTGAACCCTGGCCACAGCAAAGTAGGTCTTTGGGATGCACAAACATTGTCCCGTGCCTATAATGCATTACTAAACTTCTGTGCTGGAGTTCCTTTCTCTGAAAAACCATCCCCCTTTTGGAATGAGATTGTATCTCAGTCCATTTGCATTTATTCAAAATCAGAGACAACTCTGAAACCAGACCCTATTTAAACATAGAAAGAAGAGCAGTTGCAGATTAAGCAAATGTTGGGGGAACTTTAAAAAAAAAAAAAAAGAAGAAAGAAAAAGAAAAACAAAACACTTCTATTTACCTTCTTGTATTTCCTTGTTTTCCAGATCTGTGGTTTTCCTCCCATTGGCCGGCCAGCGTGGATGCCAAGTTCTGCACGTGATTTAATGGATCAGAAGGTCAGATGTCAGGCTTGACTTGGCTGTTGGCAGACTCGTGATCGTTATGATTAATTGTCACCTTCAGCACTAGGGGAATTACCTTCTTATTGGTGGCATTGCTGCTGTTGCTATTTAACATGGTTTTGACCTCTGTATGTATCTGGGAGAAGTAGAAAACATTAAATGGGCTGGGAAAGCAGCATGGAGAAAAGGAAGCCTGCAAGAATTAATTTAGGATGAAAAGGAGTAATAATCGGATCATGAGAGAGAGGAGCCATGTTTCATTTGTTAGGTGGAGAAATTGTGCTCAAGGAAGCTCCAGCAGCCCTCTCCGACTGGCATTTCCTGGAGTGCTAAAAAAGGTGTCAGGAGGCACTAAGCCTTGGGTTAGAACATGTGGGATAGGTTTCGCCACCTGCACAGTGCACATCGCCTTGTTTCCTGGGCAGGGCCTCTGAAGTCTCCTTCTGGTCCCCAGATGTTTGGTCATGCCAAGCAGCCTGTTTGGAAGGTGAGGTTATCATTTGGAACCCAGTTTGTTTACTTTATTATAACAACAGTTTCAGTTTGCCTCTGCAGTGAAGGCTGTGTCCACACTTTCCTTTCTGTGTTTATTATTTTTAGCAGTTTAAAAGCTAACCGTGAAAAATGGCTTTCTGGCTGTCAGGTGACATTCCGGCTGGGCCAAGGTCCGGTGGAGTCTCTAGAAACGCTCACAGGCTGTGAGAGTCAGGTCTTTTGAATGCTGTCTTTGTGCCTCCCCTTGCCCCGGGGCCTCTGGCTTATTGTCTAGGCGCCTCAGTGGGGGTGGCGCTATCTGATGGTAACCACTACTACTATTACCGTGCTCAGTGCCCCCGCCCTCCCTGGGGGCCCCCAGTCTGGCTGCCTCTGTCTCCCAGCCCTCCCTCAAGGGAGCCCGTCAAAGCTTTCGTATCAGAAAGCACTATTTGCGATTTATAGAATGTTCAAGGGAAATGTGTCAGTAAGGATCACCTGGACCTGTGGTTCACTAATGTATATATTTTTTACAAAGAATCCTTTTCCCAGATGAAATCTCCCAGGGAACCCCAATTTGTAAGACATGGAAAAGTACAGCTGTTCTTCTGAAGGGGAGAGGGTTGTTGCAAACGCTACTCTTCAGCCTCCTCTTCACTCACCTGACTTCTCTGCTCCCCTCACCCCTGCCGGGATACCTCTAACTCCTCAGGATCCTTGCACACCGTTCTTGCAAGGCGATCCCTTCCACTTACAGATAAGAACATGAAAAGGTGATTTTTATAACACGCTTAAGACATGAGGCATTAGACACTAAGACACTAAGGAGTACACACTGTATTAATCCATTTTTATACAGTTCTAGAAAAGAAAAAACTAATGTAGGTGATAGCAATCGAAATAGTGGTTACCCTGAGGAGAAGAGGGGATTGACTGGGAAGGGGCCTAAGGGAGTTTTTTGGGGTGATAGAAATATAGATCTTTATAGAAGTGCAGGCTACACAGCATTTATCAAAAATTCATCTGTGCTTTTTTACCATATATAAATTTTACCACCGTTAAAAAATAAGAACAAAGAGGGAAAATGAGGCAAAAAAAATCAATGAATTCAGTATTTAATAAATACAAATACTGATGAACTTCCTTAAGTACTGAAAATACTAGTGAACTTCCTTAAAGCTATGTGGACTACATATTATGTGGGGTCTAAGGTCATGATGCAGAATTTCAGAATATAGGAGACCCTGCTGTTCTTCCAGCACTTTGTTTGTTCAATAATCATCAAAACCAGGGGAAAAATCTCAAAGAATAAACAATAGAACCACAAAATACTTTTTGGGGTCTTCTGGGTTATAATGTGGCTAAAAAGTGATATGTAAGCAGTCTGGGAATGGAAATCTTGAGTATGGTATTTGATTCATGCATTACTTTGACATGGACAATTTGACATGTACTATACATGTAGTATTGATAATGCTTCAGAAATCCTTCCTCATCTTTTAATCCTTTGCTCCCTCATCTCAATGCTTTTTTGTGACCTGTAAAATGCAAGATTCCTTTCCTATAACTTAGGTGAGTGGAACTTCCGATGACAGATTGGAATTCAGGCCTCAAGTGCCATCTAGACAATAGGCTACTCCTGGTTCAGTCTTTCTGCTTTGGGTGCATGTCAGGTGCTGTCAAATGACTGGCCTTGTACCTATACCTTTGCAATTGGCACTTTGACCCTTGAAAATACACTTTCTCTTCCCTGAAATACTTTGAGCCAACCCTACTTAAACTTTTCCACTTGTGTGTTTTAGAAGTCCCACAGTATCATGAAAGGTAATCATTTAGGTTGAAATGCAGCTAAGGACATAGGCCAGGCCAGATGGGACCCAGCAGCCAACTCTGCATTTTAGAGCCTTCCAGAACACTGAGCTGGAAGGGGCAAGGAAAATGTTTTAGGAAAGGAAATGGTGGCAGTGTTAGCCACTGGTAAGAGTGGGTCACATGGGGCCAGAGCAGGAAGGATGTGAAGATGCTCAAATGTTCTAGCCTTTGAGGTGATGCAGACAAAACTCTCTACTACTTGAGCATTTTCCTAGGAAAAAAAAAAAAAAGCAAAGGCTTATTTAACCCAAAAGATTGATCCACATTAACAAAAATTTAGTTCGCTAATGAAGCTATGGCAAAAATGAACCATCCATGAAAAATAACATTTTAAATAGCCAGAACACATTTTAGCCCACACATTCCATGCTTTGCACATATACACTAATTTCTGAATTGAATCAAATTTAGTTGAGCAGGATTTTTATTTAGCCAATTTAGTTTAATGTGTGTAAGAGCAGAAATGAAATTACCCAGTCTACAAGTTGGGGCAAAATGTGTGTTTTTTGCAATTTTATGCCCATTTGAAAGGAACTGTTTCTTCACATCATTAAGAGTCAATTTGTCCAAATGGAAAGTACAAGAAAGAAATTATATGTTTTCTCCATTCCAGCGACTGGGGGAAAGTGATTCTCCTGGAGCTTCTGAGTGTTGATTTTGGCTTAGGTCATGATCTCACAGGTTCATGACTTCAAATCCCACATCAGGCTCCATGCTGACAGTGCAGAGTCTACTTGGGATTCTCCCTCTCCCTCTCTCTCTCTGCACCTCTCTCTCTCTCAAAATAAATAAATAGAAACTATATACATCCAACCTATTTTTTCCCATTGACTTCTAAAAATCAACAATCTGAATTTTTAACCACACAGCTGCTTATAAGGGCCATAAAAAACTGGAGAAATATCCTGATTTGAGTTTTATCCCCTTTTCCTTCCCTCAATTATTTTTCCTATTGGTGCCATTGGGATAGTAACTGAAAAACAGGATTAAAGAAAAGTAATAAATACTTCAATAGACATTATTATTATTATTATTATTATTATTATTATTATTGGTTTCCAGAAAAGAAAATTGAAGGTCAAATGAACAGAGGCAATGTCCAAAGATATCATTGTCACAGTGGCAGGGCTGGGCTTGAACTTGAGTCTTTCTACCTGTAAGCTCCTGTCTTAAGAAGAGAAGCAATGGATCAAAACTAATCAAAATACTGCATTGGCTGTGTTGGAGAAATAGTAACATTTGTGGAGAGAATAAGCCACCATTGGGGACCTGCCCACAAAAGAAAATTATAAATAACAGTGACAAGCACACAAAAGCTTATTTTTCTCTCCATAGAAGCAGGGGGCAGTTCCATAATCATCAGGGACTTAGGCACCTTCTATCTTTTTCTATTTCTATTCTTAGCACAGGACTCTATCCTGAAAGTTACCTCTTAGTTCAAGATGGCCCCTGGAGCTTCAGCCCTCACATATAAATTCCAGGCAGCAGGAAAGATGGGAAGAGGGAAGTGAAAGGCATCCATTACCAGTGAGGTTTTTCCTCTTTATGAGGCCTCCCCAGAATTCCCACCCCATGATTTTTACCTACAATCTCACCTACCAATCCCTAGTTGTAAAAGAAGCTGGAAAGTGCAATTGGGTACTTTGCTATCCAGAAGTAAAATGGGATTTGGTTGTAAAAGAGTATCATGAAGGCACCTCGCAGGCCTAGTTACAGTTAGGCAAAAGCTTTTCAGAGAGGAATGATCAGAGTGGTTCTTTAGAGGAATGATCTTGTAGCCAACTACATGATAGATAAAAGGGGGAGCGATAAAAAGTAGCTTTGAGGACTTCAGTTATTAGTGAGGATACATCAGGGACAGGAGAGGAAAGATGGATGTGATAGAATAGTGAAGAATGAATTGGCCAAGGAGAATGTATTCATTGATTAGCTGTGTAGTTCAAAACTATGTTTCAGCAAACACACACACACACACACACACACACACACACACATACATGTGAGGGGGGAGTGTGTGTATACATGCATTATATGTGTGTGTATACTCATATGAATATACATACGAATAACAGTGACCTAGATCTGGATAAAGAAAAAAGCTATGTGGTATTTGTCTCTACGGAAAATTGCCTGGCATTTTGGAGGCATTCTAGTGGCAATGAATAAAGACTACCTGCACACGTACATCAATAAACACAATATGCACATGCATACACACAATACAAAAGAAAACTTTTCTAGGGCTCTATAACACCAATAGCAGTGATCTTCAAATTTTGGCATCCCTAAAAAAAAGAAAAAAGGAAAAATTAAAAGTGACTGTGTAATAGATTTTAAAAGGAATGAGTGAAGAAGGCACTGTAACGCTGTGAAGACAACTCAGAAATTACCATAAGAAGCCAAGCTAGAGAAAATAGGAAAGTCAGGATGGGGAAGAAAACTAGTTTCTCTTTCTTCTCTTCTTTCTTCTCTCCTGCCTCCCCCCATCCCCAGCCATTTCCTTCTTTGCTTAATTTTAGGATGAATAGAATCTAACTTGGGTAACTGTATTTTCATAGACTTTTCATTACGAGCTCCCAAATGAGAAAGAATTTAACCTCCAGGTCATCTTCACATCACTTTTGTTAAACCAGATCATAGCAGGTAAT